GCCGGGCTGTGCCTCTCCCTCCCTCCTTGTCGCTGATCTGAGGCCGGAAGCCCCGAGGTGTCACATGCTGGTGGCCGAGCGCGTGCGGGAGGTGGGAGCGGGGTCTGAGCCTCAGCCAGGACAGCGTCTGGGAACCCATCGCCGAGGCCCCTGGAGGCTCCTCTGGCCGGGCCGGATCCAGGAGGTGGCACCCTGTGCGCCATCCCGAGCCCTTTGGTCGCGTATTTCTTCTGACTCCCAGGACCCGTTCCCCTGAACCTCAGTTTCCTCTTCTCTCCAGTGGGAACTCACTCAGCAATTTTAAAAAGATGTTATTGGTGGATTTGAGAGAGAGAGAGAGAGATGCATGCATGCATTGGCTGACTCTTGTATGTATACCCTGATCCAACCTGCAACCTTGGTGTATCCGGACAAGGCTCTAACCAATTGAGCTACTCGGTCCTCGTTCAGCAGTTTATTAAGTGCTTACTATGTGCCAGGCCTGGTCCCAGGCCCTGGGGTACAACAAGTGGGACCCCCTCCCAGAGTGACCATTCAGCCTCCCTCCTGTACTTCTTCCCATTCTTCCAGGGCGAACATGGCCAAAGGGTTGAGTGGCGAAAATGGAAGCAGCAGAGTAAGTAGGGGCTGGGGGTGAGGGTGAGTGTCTGTGCTGGCCCTTCCCCAGGCCCTTCCAGTGGTGCACATCTAAACTTTGGGGAAAAACACCAGGTTTGTCCCCTGTGGGTCCCACAGCACCCAAGATGGGAGGAAGGGGTCAGAAGCCCCGGGAGGCTCCTCTGGCTGCCCACCCAGCTCACTTGAGCACCTGGGCTGGCCGGACCTGAATGGGAACCCCCACCGCACTGAAAGGTCATCATCTCCTAGACTGCTCCACGCCCTCTCCCTCCAAAGTCCCTCTTACCTCCACCTATTGGGATGTCTTCTCATCCAGAGAAAGAGGAGAAGAAGAAGTGGAAGGATCTTAAGCTGATGAAAAAACTGGAGCGGCAGCGGGCGCAGGAGGAACAGACAAAGCGCCAGGAGGAGGAGGAGGCCGCTGCACAGCGGGAGGACCAGGGTGAGCGGACTGGGTCCTGGGCGGGGCAGAGAATGTCATATCTGGAAGGGCCCTTAGACTGACCATCAACACCCCTCCCTTGCCCGCAGGGAGGCCCTACACCCTGAGCGTGGCCTTGCCTGGTTCCATTCTTGACAATGCCCAGTCGCCCGAGCTTCGCACCTACCTGGCTGGCCAGATTGCCAGAGCCTGTGCCATCTTCTGTGTGGATGAGATTGTGGTGTTCGATGAAGAGGGCCAGGAAGCCAAGTGAGGGGCCATTCTGCAGGATACCAAGCTCGGGGGGAAGGGAGGGGCTGCTAGCATTGGCTTGGGCTTGCCTGGGCTGAGAACCGTGCCTGAAATGCCCCCATTGTAGTCCTGGTGGGTAGAGCTGCAAAGCAGGGTGCTGCAGCGGTCAGGTTGGGCGGACGAGCTCTTGAAGGGAACACAGAAGGCTCTTGAGCCCTGTCTTTCTCTCTCCAGGACTGTGGAAGGGGAATTCAGGGGCGTCGGCAAGAAGGGGCAGGCATGTGTACAGCTGGCCCGGATTCTGCAGTACCTGGAGTGTCCACAGTAAGGGTGAAGGGCAGGCTTCCTGAGCGTGGGGGAGGGTGGGGGGAGGTACAGGTCAGGCAGAGGTGGCCTCCCTGGGAACTTCCTGAGATCTGTGTCCTTCACTAGGTACCTAAGGAAGGCCTTCTTTCCCAAGCACCAGGATCTGCAGTTCGCAGGTAAGGCTTGAGGGGTCTGACCCCCGTTTCCATGGATCATTCCCAGGTCCTGAGAAATTGCTACACAGCTGGGAAAGCAGGCCCAGACAGAGCAGGCCTGTGTCTGGTGCCAATAGGCAGTCTGTGACAGAGCTGGACCTTGGGCCAGGGTTCCCTGCCATACCCCCATGTGCTTTTGCACTTCCCCTGACCCCCCCACCCACCCACAGGGCTCCTGAACCCCTTGGACAGCCCTCACCACATGCGTCAGGATGAGGAATCTGAGTTCCGAGAGGGCGTCGTGGTGGACCGGCCCACTCGGCCAGGCCAGGGCTCCTTCGTGAACTGTGGCATGAAGAAGGTAGGAATTGGAGTGTGGATGAACCCACACTTCCCAGATATACCCTGGCGATGGCGGGCCGGTGGGGTGTATGGGTGGGGAGCCCGGGACCCAGGCATCTCTGTCCACCAGTTGCCCACTGATGCTGGTTTAGACCAGAGAAGTGCTTAAATCGGGGCTCAATAGATAAAGCCAGGAGTGAATTTATTGGTTTTTTTTTAAAAAACAGATCAACAGGAAATGGTTCTTGTGCTTTTAAAAACAAAACAAAACCCTACAAAAACAAGTTCAAAGTCACTCTGGGGCTGCTCCAATGTGATGCAGGCCACGCTGGGGATTGGAACAATTCCTTTGCCACCTATTGGCTCTCAGGTCTCCTAGGGTCAGAGGCAGAGACATGTAAATGTGTGGGGTGCCCTCCCCTCGAACAGACCAGCTGGAGGGGGTCAATGGAGGGAAAAAGGGGACATATGCAATACTTTCAACAATAAAGATTTTTTTAAAAAATAACAAATAACTGACTACACAGATGGAGAAAAGCATAAAGACCCTCAAAAGAGAAAGAAGGCGCCCTATCCAGAATTCAAAATTGGCACAAAACCAACATCTATGTTACTCATCACAGTGCCCTTGTAGTGAGCGTTTACTTCATGCCAGGCCCTGTGCAGCGTAGCAGTAGCTGTTGTTTATGGAATGCCTTCTGTTTGATGGGTGAGCAAACTGAGGCTCAGAGGTTAAGGGACCCACTCAAACTCCTATGGTTAGTAAGTGGCTATGCCACCAAAATGAGAAAGCTGAGATTTCATCTACGCACGAAATATTTACTTCCTACTCTGCTGGCCCAGAGCATTCATTTGGGGGGAAAAAAAAATGTCTTTATTAATTTTTTTAGACAGAGAGGAAGGGAGAGGGAAGAGAGAGAAACATTGAGAGAGAAACATCAATTGGCTGCATCCTGCATGCACCCCTCTGGGGATCACACTCACAACCCAGGCATGTGCCCTGACCAGGAATCGGAATTGTGACCTCTTGGTTCATAGGTCAACGCTCAATCACTGAGCCACACCAGCCGGGCCCAGAGCATTCATTTTTGACCAGTGTCTTGTAAGCAGGTCTGGCTCAGGTGTGAGGGCTAAGGTTGACGTGGACCTCCAGAGCATTCATTTTTGACCAGTGTCTTATGATAGTCATTTTGCAGGAACGGTGTCTTGTAAGCAGTCTGGCTCAGGTGTGAGGGCTAAGGTTGACGTGGACCCTTTAGGTCCCTTGCCAGCCAGATTCTCCGACATCTGGGCGAGTGGTGACTCCTGCTGGTCCTGTGGGAAACCACACCCATGTCTGGCTTCTCCCTAGGAGGTGAAGATTGACAAGAACTTGGAACCTGGGCTTCGTGTGACCGTGCGCCTGAGCCAGAAGCAGCTCCCGGGTATCTGAAAGCTTCCTCAGCCTGGCCAGCCTGAGGGCTCAGACCCTCCTCCTTCCACCTCCTTGTCCCCTCAGCCCGTCTTCACAGCCTCTCCGCTTCCCCCTCAGAAAGCAAGACCTACCGTGGAAAAGTCGTGTCGTCTCAGGACCCTCGCACCAAAGCTGGTCTCTACTGGGGCTACACGGTCCGGCTGGCCTCCTGCCTCAGTAAGGATGGAGCTCCCCTTAAGAATCTCCTTCCTCTCTGTGTGGCAGGCCACAGGGAGCCTTGCTTGACCCAAAAGTCAGACCAGCGTCCTTGTCCTGCCAACTTGCTCTGTGTCCTTGGGCAGCTGCCTTTCCTGCTCTGGGCCTTGGTCTCCCTGAGTACTTTGCCTGGATCAGAGGAGAAGTATCATGATCGATTGATAATGTCTCTCTGGGGTTGGGAATGGGGGCAAAAGGACCAGAGAAGTCAGAGCTGCAGTTGTTCTCAAAGTCCTTCCTAGCCACCCTCTGCTTTGCTTCTGCAGGGTAGCACAGGCGTGGCCTCTCCCTGGTCAGTGCCTGACCTCCCAGGAACAGGGGAGGGCCTGGATGACTCCCTTACCTGGGTCTCCTTCTCCACACCCCACCCAGCGCACACACAGCCAGGCAGCTGTGGCTTGTGGAAAGCGGGACCCCTACTGAGCTGGCCTCACCCCCAGGTGCTGTGTTTGCTGAGGCCCCCTTCCAGGACGGGTATGACCTAACCATCGGGACATCAGAGCGAGGCTCGGATGTGGCCTCTGCCCAGCTTCCCAGCTTCAGGTGGGTCCAGCTTGGGGCAGGGGCTGGGGGAGGAGGAATGGAGCAGAGGACCGGTCTGGTGGGGGCAAAACTATAGACTGGGCCCCTGCTGTGTACGGGGGCTGAGAGCTGTGGGGGCTGCTTTCAACGTGGCCTTGACGAGCAGTCAGTGATTCCCGCTACTGTGGTGCCAGGCACGCTCTTGTGGTGTTCGGGGGCCTCCAGGGGCTAGAAGCTGGAGTGAATGCTGACCCCAACCTGGAGGTGACTGAGCCCAGTGTTCTCTTCGACCTGTATGTGAACACCTGCCCCAGCCAGGGCAGCCGCACCATCCGCACCGAGGTGAGCCTGCCTACCTCCCCTGCTTCCAGCTGCCGGCCAGGGCCTTGGGGTCTAAGGCGGTTGCAACTCTCCCTGTCGCATACCCTGCCCACGGCTGCCTGAGCCGGCCTTCTCTGGAGATGGCCTCCTCCCCCCTCGGCCTCTCACCGCTGCAGACCTGTAGCAGGGACTGGGTATGAGTGAGCTGGGAGTTTAGACTCCTGGATGCTGGTGCCTGTCCAGCTGCTCCCAAGCTGGGTGACCCAGGAGACCCCACCCACCCCTGCTCTGGGCCTCCATTTCCTTCACTGTGTGCTCAGTGTTCACGCCCTCGAGTGTGACCGCAGTGGGCAGGGCAGCCCTCCTGAAAGCTTAGTCCTGGGCATCCACAGAACCTGTGGCCCCACTTCTGAACTCAGCACAGAGGGCCGTACCTGTGGGCTCTTAGCTGGGGCTGCTCTGCTGCTCCAGTGGCAGATTGGCAGGATGACACTGGGCCTGACCTTAACCTCAGGGCCCCGCTGGAGGCAGCAGCCCAAGGGACTGGGTCCTGGGCAGTCAGGCACTGAAGACAAAATGGGAGCCAGGGCACCTGCCAGCCTCCCCGCCCCAGCCCACTGCTGCACTTCTCTTGCAGGAAGCCATCCTCATCTCCCTGGCTGCCCTGCAGCCGGGCCTCACTAAGGCAGGTGCGAAGGTCCGTCAGGCACTAGAGAGTGAAGAAGCAGTGGCGAAGCCAGAGGTTCTTGAGGTGTCACCTGGGACAAACACAGCCAAGACTTTCTCCAAAAATAACCATCTTTAATGCGACCCAGCCACACACCCTCACAGTCTGGCTGGGCTGCTGCCCTCACTTGCTGCCGGCGGTGATGGCCTTGAGGCTGCCCGCCCTTGCCAGGATATTCAGCACAAAGAGCAGCCCCGAGGCCCGCTCGATGCTCTCGATGGGCACCAGGAAGCGCTCCAGCGGGATTGCCTCATCCACGGGCGCATTGGGCATCACATAGGAGCGAAGTTCGATTTGCCCGCCTGCTGCCTCCAGGATCAGCACCTTGAAGAAGTGGGTGGGCACTGCCACGTGGTTCTTGCCGATGACCTGGTACTTCACATAGGATTTCCCATCAGCCTCTGTCCTGCAAGCAAACCCAGACACATGGCCTTTCAGGCTCCGGGGGAGTCTGGTTAGACCCAAGCTGCTGCCTCCAGGAAGCATTCCTTGACTTGACCCCCAAGCTGTGTCAAGCTGTGGAACAACCCCTCATGAAGCTTCTGTGCTCTCCTTGGCTTCCCCAACAGACTGGGAGCTTCCTGCAAAGTAGACACTCTTCTCCTGTTGTCTACCGGGTCAGCAGAGTGGTGGCAATAAACGCTGCTGAAAAATCCAGCCTCCTACACATCCACATTCATCCATGCAGACGCTGGATGGCTGCCTGTCTCCCTGTGCAGGGTGAACACCAAGCAGCCAGGCAGTGACAGCTGGATTCCCAGCAACAGCACCGGGCTGGGTATACAGCAGGTACCCAGAACACTGCCCTTTGGGGTGACTTCCATGCTCACCCTCAGCAGTCTACTCCACTGAAGCCGGCCTTAGGAGGCACTTGCTCATTAAAGTTCATCAGTGCCCTGGCCAGCCCATGCTGAGCCCTATGGGGACATCCATCTGATAGGGCCTGGATCCCATCCCAACATATGGCATCACTCATCCAGTCAGTGGGCCAGGAAAACCACTGAGCATGCTCAGTCCCTTCCCCCTGGGAGGCAGGCCCGCAGGGGGACAAGAGGGAAGTCTCGGGGAGCAGAAGGGTTGCTCTGAACAGAGGAAGACTGAGGGCGAGAGCCTGGTACAAGGGGTTTTGGGCAGAACACAAGGTTGGACGGGTGGGTGTGGCAAGAGGTGATGTAAGAGGAGACAAGGTCTCCAACTATAGAAGTGAATTCAGGAGCCAGGCAGGGAATGGACAGGCTCACTAATAGGCCAGATGACTAGTGACCTGGCAGTGTTGACCCAGAGCCTGGGACATGCCTGGAAGGGGTGAGAGGGAGACCCTGGTACTCCCACCCCCACCCGCTCCCCCAGTTCTAGCCTTACTTGGGCAGGAAGAGCGGCCCTGTGCAGACATAGACGTTCTGGTAGGTGCGGGTCAAGCTCCGGCTGTACTTCTCCAGGTTGTTCCAGGCTTTCTGGTTGAGGTGGGGCACCTGGTAGGAGAGGGGGGCTCAGAGACTGGCTGGGACCTTTCCTCTGTCAGAGGGGCTGCCCTGAACCCTGAGGAGCGGGCACTGCCGCCAAGCCCGAGGTTCCTGCAGGGTGGAGACAAGCTTGTAGAGAGAACTGGTTCAAGGAATGGAATTTGCTCCTTTAGGCCACTTGGCCATGAGGGTGGGGCCTGGACAGAGCTCAGGAGGGTGCTCCCCAGGGGCTCATGGGAAGGCCAGCTCTCCCAATCTCCTTTTCCCGCTTTGGACCACATGCAGAACCCAGCTGGGACCGTCTTGACCTGCTCCCAATTCCATCACTTGAGCGCTCCAGTCCTCAGTACAATGTCTAGAAAAACGGGAAGAGCTGACGGCCGGCAGGCATCTCCCTTTACTCCGGAGGCAGGCGGGTTATGACAGTGGCTGACAGCTCAGGGTCCTACAGACATTGCACGGGTCCCTTCCGATGTGACACTGGGCCAGTCACTTGGCCCCTCTGAGCCTCAGTCCCCTCATCATAACTAGTGTTTATTGAATGCCTGCCATGGGCCAGGAAGTGTGCGCACCAGGTCTATAGTCCTCATCGCTACTGCAAGCGATATCCCCATTTTACAGACCAGGAAACCAAGCCCATGGCCTCAGGGTCGGACTGCAGAACGGGTGCTGGGCGCCCAGGGCTCGGTCCCCCCGGCTTAGGGCGGGTGCTTAGTGAGCCCTGACCTAGCTCGCGCCCTCGGCTTCCCCGGCTGCAGAGTAACTGAGGCTCCGAGAGCCCGGGGCGGGGCGCGGGCGCTACCTGGGGTGCGATGTTGCTCAGGTAGAAGGTGTCATCCATGGCTTTCTGGCTCCAGCGGTGGTTGGCGGCGGCGGCCCGGGGGC